AATGTCGTCTGGACTTTGTTTTTAATTGTTTACTAGACTATGTTTTTTGGACTTTTGGCCTACGCTATTTTTTGTTTTCTTGTCTACGTTATTGTTTGGAATGGTATTATAATAAAAAAATGGTTTTATGTCAATAATATGAGATGTAACTTTTGAGACAAATCGAATGTCAGTAATTAATGACTGTACTTAATTGTTATTTTCCAGTACGAAAGATTCTTCCAACCGGCTTCGACGTGTGTTGCCAGCTTCTACGCGCCAATCCAATTTAGCCCTTCCGCCGTACTTTGTTTCAAGGTAAAGCTTTGAACATTACATTGCCTCTATTTAGTAAGAGTTCTGTGCCTAACATTGCTTATTAAGTATTTATTATATATATTCATATTTCTATCTAGATAGGTAATATTCTGCTATTGCCTTCATCACATTGTCGTGAATAAGTAAACTAGAATTTATTATATATCAGATAGATACTCGTATTTCAACTCACTCAAAATTATCAAGATACTTATTTTCTTTGATAATTATCGTGATGATTAGGCTTGATTCATAGCTTTAAGCTTACATTTTTGATTAAAAGTGACAAACAATGTGAAAACCAAATAAACACGAAGAAAAATCTTCAAGTTTCATAAATGTGTGGCTCAGGCTTGAAAAACTGCCAAACTATTAAAGACTCAATGCGATGGTGAGATAAACTGCCGGTTATTAAAATACTTTAGTGGTTATTGGGCAAACTGACGGTTATCAAGTTACCTTACATACAATGGAAATTTTTCCGAAATTACTTTTTCTGAAAAATTGAAAAATTTTTTCATTGGATTATTGCAAAAATATAATTCGAAGGCTCATATTATGTTCTCTCTTATAGAAATATCTTTTGAAGTTAGAAAAATCTTTGGGAAAACGATTTTGTTCGTGACTTTTGAGATTATCATTTGACATGTTTAGATACGTCTCATAAACATTGCTAGCGGTAGCGCTTTGTTGTTCCAGTTAATTCAAGATGATTATCTTCGAACCTTGTTTGAAATATAAATAGTATCCTTACACAAATACTTTAACGTACACACACACTCAACATAAATATAATACTTTAAACGTATTCCTTTTTAGGAGAAAAGAAACACAAAACTGCAGTTAGTAGCATCAGGAGTATTGCTCTCTTGCAACCCAGATAGATTGATCATCAAACGAATTGTGCTATCCGGACATCCCTACAAGGTGATTATAATCTTTAAAATAATGAACGAATGAATTAATTAAGTTTAACTGTACGAGACAAAATGGCGCACATTGGGGGAGCGTAATATTATGGCATTTTAACAAATTAAGAATCAATACAACCTCAAATGGCTCTGGTTGATTCCGCCTAACAGTGAAAGTGTTCATCAATATATAGTATAATTGAGGATATACACTGATTAGTATGCGGTGAAAACACGATTCGTAAAAATTTTCACGATAGAAAAAATAACACAAACTTACCTCGAAATTTTACAAGAAATCCGCTGCATTCTATAGATACTTTACATATACCAATGATTTTTAAAAATATCAACTGGACTAAGTAGAACACGTATAGTATACGATATACATTTTTCAAATAGCTTTAATTACGTTTGTAAAAAAATAAATTCTGAAATAAAGCCAGTGTCCCTTCCGCTCGACCCGTGCAATAAAACCGACTCAGTGTGGGAAAAATTTTAATTCGAGTAAGTAGTAGTATCGAACTCTTAACGAGTTTTTTAATAATATATACCTGTAATCTTAGAATAATAACGCATAGAATGATAGTTTCATATCAAACGAACTGTCACAAGTGAGGCAAAAACCAAATTCATGTAGGCGTAAGCAACTTGTAACTACGCTCGTCGGCACGCACACAAATATACAAATAATGATGCCATGGAATAACATTTCCCTCAAAAGTGGGGAAATTCTATCTTGCTTAACTCATCATTAAGTTGAAGGTGCCTACAGATTTGCCCGACATTGTCGATCAGGTGCCTACAGATGTGCTCGATTTTGTCGATGAAAAACGAATATAGCACTTATTTGTAAGTCCAAGATGGCGGACACGATTTTTCAAAATATGCTATATGGGTATCCTTTTCGAGGTATTTGGGGATGCTCATTACGAATATGGCACTCATTTCTAAATCCAAGATGGCGGACACGAGTTTTGAAATAAATGCAATATGGGTATCATTTTCGAGGTACTTGGGGATGCTCATGACGAATATGGCACTCATTTCTACATCCAAGATGGCGGGCACGATTTTTCAAAAAAATGCAATATGGGTATCATTTTCGAGGTACTTGGGGGTGCTCATTACGAATATGGCACTCATTTCTAAATCCAAGATGGCGGACACGAGTTTTCAAATAAATGCAATATGGGTAACATTTTCGAGGTACTTGGGGGTGCTCATTACGAATATGGCACTCATTTCTAAATCCAAGATGGCGGGCACGATTTTTCAAATAATGGCAAGTTGGGTATCGTTTTCGAGGTATTTGGGGGTGCTCATTACGAATATTGCTTTTGTTTGAACTGTCGTGTTTGCCATCTTGGATTTAGAAATGAGTGCCATATTTGTATTGAACATTCCCAAACATCTCGAAAACGATACCCAACTAGCCATTATTCGAAAAATCGCGCCCGCCATCTAGGATTTAGAAATAAGTGCCATATTCGAAACCTAAAACGGAAAATGCCATAAGCAAACATTAAAGAAAATAACTGTTAAAATAGATTAAAAAATCGCTTAAGAATGCTCCCCTTTTAAGAAAATAAAATATTTTAATATAAAATATTTCGCTTGAGTTACGAAAAGAAAGACATATAATAAGCTATCAAAGTTGTACTGGTGGTGCCAACACTATAGTAGAAACAAATATATACTGTAAATTTGTTGCAATATGTGCTCCAATTCAAATAAAATTAAAATAAATAATTATTCAATAAAGCATGAACGCAGAGCCGTTAAAAGTATTATAAAATAATTAAGTGTCCCAATCACTTACAGGAGTTAACGAAAACATTTAATGTTTATTCAAGTAAATATTAGTTCAAGATGCGCAAATAAATCGAAATTACAGGCACCACTAAAATTTACGTAATATAATTATTTTGATACAGAATAGCAAAATGGGGAGAAAAAAAATTCGTTACTTTGCAACACTTTCGTATCTTGTTGCCGCGAAATTATTTTTCTGTTTTAGTGAATATTTACATAAAAATATGAGTTGAAACGCATTACTTACTTGTGGAATGCGATGTTAGTGTCTATTTTATGTTTGTCTGTTGTATTTTTACACCCATTTACCGCACATTTCGTCATTTTTAGCAAAAAATTTTGGAGCTGTTCGCGGTGCAATATGACCTTGAGCACTAAC